GTTCAAATTTGAATTGGCTATGAAAGGAAGTTTCATAACAAAAGGAAAGGATAAGATCTTGATAGTATCTTGTCAAGATCAAATCCCAAGTATCAAGAGGAGATCTTTGGACATCATCAAAGATGATTGGGGCGCTGATTTGGTGGCTTAATGATGGTCATTTAATCAACAAATCAAGCTCCATTCAGATTTGGTTAGTTGTGGAAATATTTGATTTAGTTGATTCAATTTGAATTGCAACTAATCAATATTTTTGGAATGATTTTGGGCTGATTGGGGCGCACAATATGGCTGATCATATAATGGCTATAAGGTCAGAATATTGACTAGGTGCAGACTTAGTTTTAAGAGGATAGAATAGGAGTTTGTTGACTAGATTTGATTTGCAACAACTCTACTCTTTCCTCCACAAAAGGGGCTCTCCATGATAAGATTTTTGGTGAAAAATCTGATTCAAATTTATTCCTCTTTCATCTCCTTAAGTGTTTCCTTTTTGTGATATTCTCCTTAGGGTTTTTGGAAAATAAAAGGCCATTCTCTTCTATAATTTGTGTGACACTTTTTGTGAGTTTTATTACTGAAAATTCTCTCATCTAAACATATTGAAACCGAGCCTCCTACCTCTTCACAAGGGACGCCTAGCTTGCTCCTTTGTGGTGTTCGAGTTGGTGGCTTTTCAAGAAGAGTTATTGCATCTTGACAAAGGGTGGTGTGGATCAGCATTAAAGGGTTTGAACCTTCAAGCCTAACACTGATCACCTTCGAGTTTTGGGTTACGAACAAAGTATCTCTCTGTCCTAGAGTATGTATCTTGATTGGTATGTGTGTTTCCGCTTTGAATTTTTTTTGTTTTCATCCTCACATGCCTACGGCCTTCAAGGCTCTATCTTTCAGTGAGACCCACACCTTTATTTTTTTTATCCACTTTCTCTTCCCATGATTTATCTCTTTCTCTCACTTAAAATGACACAATTTTACATCTTTTAGAATGACACACACTTTTCCCTTATATTATTACTCTATTTAAAACGACATCAAGGTATTAGTTTTACTTGTGTTAGTTAATGTTATTATCTGGATATTATACTAAGGGAAATATTAGTCTACCAACGGGGGTTGGCTCAAGTGGTAAGGTACTTGGGTTCGCTTAAGCAAGGACTCGAGTTCGAGACCTTGTGTACGCAGAAAATCCTCGCTGGGAGACTCACCTGCCAATGCTAGGTAACCTACCCGGGTCGGACTGGACATAGTCGGTGCGAAGCCACAAAACATGTGGGACCTATTCTTTAAAAAAAGAGAGTAAATAAAGAAGTGGGCGCCACGTGCTTTGTGTATATATGACATGAGATAACTAGTCATCTACAGCATGAGATTAGTATTCCCCTTATATTAAACAAAATAAATTACAAGAGTTTAGTATTTCTCATATTGTAAGAGATAATTTTTATCTCTGACACACACATAAAAGTATGTGAGACTCATATTTTATCTTTCTCTCTCTTCTCCTCACATAAGCCCATGTGGATCCCATATATTTTTATATGTATGTAGGAGATAGATTTATCTCCTATAATATGAGAAATACTAAACCCAAATTATAATAATTATAAGGGTAAAGTGTGGTGTCATTCTAAAGTATGTAAAGTTGTGTCATTTTAAGAGATAGATAAATGAGGAGATAGAGAGTTGACAAAGAAATAAAGGTGTGGATCCTACCTCTTTGTGAAAGTGAAAAGATATAAGTTGTATCATTTAAAAGGATAAATATTTTTCTCTAATTATAATTGTAGAACTAATTTAATAACAAATCACCATCTACCATAATCAAGTGATCGAGTATAAGAATTAAAATTTTATGCAAAATTTTGTCAAAATAGGACAAGTTCAGTGAGCAGCCCAAGGATTTTTTTAACATGCACCCGATCCATGATTTATTGGATGCTCCTTTTCTCAAAAAAAAATAAAAAATTCTCTTCCATTTATACCCTTATCTTTTTTTCAAATTCCTTCTCAATCTTTTTTTCATTCTATTTTTGGACAAGTCCCACCAAGGCCGGGACTGCCAAAAATGAGCTCGCAGCCCAAATGTTATGATTAAATGTTTTGTATTATACTAATAAAATCTTACATTTATTTATTTATTTATTTTTGTTAGATTGACTTAGACTGACTTGTTAGCTAAAATAAAAATAAAAATATTTTTCCTTATAAATTATCACATAAGAACATATCACCATTTTTTTATTCGAAGAGCTAAAGCTTAATTAATAAATAGACTAACTCCTTAATTTTCATTGGTTTAATTTTTAAAAGATTAAATTCATCACAATTTTTTATGAAAGAGGATAAACGTATCTATAAATTAACCTGCCAAACTTGCAACCCAATTAAATTGGACCGAATTTACAAAATACTGGTTTAGAAAACACATAAGCTTAAATGAATGATGCCAGCTCTATGTGCAAAATTAGCTTAATTGATTAATGGGATTTGTATTAGGATATGCACCCATCAAATCCCCTTCCCCTTCCTAGTTTCACATTGATAATCAACCATGCCGAAAGAATTTTTCTTATGTCTAGAAGCTAGGGGTGTTCATCAACCGATCCAAACTGATTCAAACCGTGGTCACCGAACCGAAAAACCGATAACCAAATAAACCGAAAACTGAAAAACTAAAAATCGAAAAAAAAACCGCAAATTTTAATTGGATTGGATCGGTTTTTGGATGGGTTAATGAAAACTGATCCAATCCAAACCGATCCAATATATTCATTCCCCTCTACCTACTTGAATCTTTCTCTAATCATAACCTAAAAATTTCTAAACCCAAGGCCCATTAACTAAACCAAAGAAAAAATCTAGCCACATCTCATCAACAAAATTTTATCTTTGTAGAGCTTCATATTTCATTGCAAAAAAAAAAAACTATATTATAGTTTACTAATGCTTTTGTATTTCAAAAATAAATAAATTACAAAGCCAATATATATAAAAGATATTATTTGCACAATAATCATGAAATAAATTTTAGGATTTTCAGAAAATCGAAAACTGATCCAATCCAAACCGAAAAAAATTGGATTGGATTGGATCGGATTTGAAAAAAAATACAAACCAAATGGATGATTATAAGATCAAATCAAAGGTATTGGATCAGATGTTTGCTTCCAAAACCGATCCAATCCAGACCACGAACACCCCTACTAGAAGCTAAGTGCTCACTTAAAAGTTGAAGAAATTTCCCTCAAGAAATTAATTTCGTAATATCTAAGGTAGTGTTTGGTTCGGGAGAAATTTTTTTTTACTAGGAAAATGTAATTGATAGGGAAATGGTTGGAAAGTGAGTTTGATAGGAAAATGTAAAAAAAGTTGTTTGGTTGACCGAAATATTACCAGGAAAATTTATTTAAATATGCAAAATCTATGTTCGGGAGAAACTTTGCACCTGTTTTTTCACTTCCCCAGTTATCTCAAAATACCACATCTCAAGTGGTATTCTGTAACAGTGAATTTCATCTAAAAATCAACACAAAAGTTATTTTCCTATCTATCCTATTTGCCTAGTATTTTTTGAAAAAACCTGAACCAAACGTGGTATTTTTCAATATCCACTTACACTTTTCCATCAATCTTAAAATAAACCTTGAACCAAACACTACCCAAAGATAAGTAAATGGAGGAGAATATTGAGAGCCTGTTTGGATCCTCTTATTTTTAAGCTAGAAGCTACTTATAAGCTAAAGCTAAAAAAAAGAGCTTAAAAAAATAAGCTAAAAGCTGTTTGAAAATTACATAAAAGTTTTAGCTTAAAAATTACTTAAAAGCACATATTTCAAGAAAATTATCTCTTTCTATCTTTATCACTCTTTATTTTAAAAAAAAGCACACAATTCAAGAAAAACAGATAAGAGCTTAAAAAAAAGCTCCTCCTAGGAGCTTTTAATTTTCAGCTTTTTTCTTCATTATAAAAAAAGAGCTTTTCGTTATAAGAGCTTTTCCCAAAACCTGTTTGGCCTAGCTTATGCTTATAAGTAGCTTGTAGCTTAAAAAAAAGAGGATCCAAACAGGCACTGAATATAAGTAGATTCTCTTAAAACGTATGTAATCTAACATTTAAAATGTTTTATTTTATAATTAAAAAAATTTATAAAATAATATAAATGCATAATAAAAGTTATATATCACAACAATCCATATTATTTTATTTTTTAAGTGCAAATGATATGTTTCATCAATGAGGTGCGGAGTAAGAGTAATTTATTACTTTTGAAATCTAAACTTCTGGAAATGCTTTTTAATATATTTATTCATGTGAGATAACCATTCATTCATGATCAGATCAATAGGTGATGATTTTATCATTCATTATTTTAATGTTTTTTGTCTGATATCTGATTAACATTAATATGACAATGAGTAATTATTATTCTCTCAAATAACAATCATGTTAAGGATTCATTCCGAACAAAAATAATATGAGATAAATATATTATATTATACAATACAATAAGTATATATATATATATATATATATATATATATGAAAAAATATTTCTTATTTTAAATAATATAAAATTATGTTATTTTAAGAGAGAGATAGATACAAAAAATATTTTTTATTTAAATAACTTTTATGGGTTTTTTAATTCTCATTCAACATGAGAATTAAAATTTTTCTCACATCCTTCGATTTTCGTGCTGACATATATCTTACATATAATTTTTTCTAACACATGGGTCCCACATGCTTTTTATCTCAATAACATAAGGTTTCAATTCTCATTCAATATAGAATTATAAAACCCTACTTTTATATATGTAGATGAAAATTTATTTCCTATAATATAAAATATAAAAGAAATATTAAATCCTTAAATATAACGTCACTAATATAAACGTGAAATTTCTTTCTCGTAGCAACGTTATATTTACTTCCGCGCCAAACCGGCTGCTATTTAATATATGAATAAAGGAGAAAAGAAAGGAAAAGGGTGAAGTGTTCTGAGATAAAACCCTTTGTTTGATTACCGCATAGTCTCTCTCATTATCTCACACTGTTAGTGAGAGAAACCTCTGCAGAGTTGAAAATGGCTCTGCTTACTTTCCCCTAGGTATAATGAAGAAAGGTTTCTTCCTCATCTTCTTTGAAGAAGATGGCTCTCACTGAAGAACCCCAAGATGTACAATACTCTCCCTCATTCCTCGATGCCCTTCTATGTGAAGAGAAAGATACCTTTGAGGACGATTTTGATGCAAACGCTGTTGAGGTTGAGACCAATAACAATGACCCATCTGTGGGAAAGTTGCAATCTTTGCCTTTGGTTTTGCTTGACAATGACTTGTTCTGGGAAGATGAGGAACTTGTCTCCTTAATCTCAAAAGAGGGAGAGACCCATTTGTGTTCTTCTAATCTCATTGCTGATGGAACACTAGAAGGGCCTCGTGTTGAGGCTGTGAGTTGGATTTCTAAAGTTTGTGCATACCATGGATTCTCTGCTTTGACAGCTGTTCTTGCTGTGAACTACTTTGATAGGTTCATCACAAGCCTGAGGTTTGAGAGAGATGAACCATGGATGACACAGCTCTCTGCAGTTGCGTGTTTGTCCCTGGCTGCCAAAATGGAAGAGACCCATGTGCCACTTCTTTTAGACCTGCAAGTATGATTTAACTTTGAGATGAAGTCTAGGTGTTTGTTGATATGACATGTTTTTTTTCTTTTTCTTTTTTCTTATGCACTTGTCCTTGATGTTTAAACAATGAGAGGTGTTTTGTGTTTTATTTATTTATTTATTTATTATTATTAGGTGGAGGAATCAAGGTTTGTGTTTGAAGCAAAAACTATACAGAGAATGGAGCTTGTAGTGTTGTCAACTCTTAAATGGAGGATGCATCCGGTGACCCCAATTTCCTTCTTTGAACACATTGTCAGAAGGCTTGGTTTAAAGAGCCGCTTGCATTGGGAATTCCTTTGGCGTTGCGAGCGAGTTCTTCTTAATGTCATTGCGGGTAAGTAACACATGCTTCAGCAAAACTTTCTAGTTTCTATTAATGCTAATAAATAAGACACTAGATATTAATGTTCAACCGAATCAGAGTCATGCCACTAAGATTACCGATGTGTATACATTGTCACAATTGTTGCCAGATTCAAGGGTTATGAGTTATCTTCCTTCTATATTGGCTGCTGCTACAATGATCCATGTTATTAAAGAGATTGAACCTTTAAATGCATCTGAGTACATTGATCAACTTCTGGGTTTGCTAAAGATAAGTGAGGTTGGTCTCTAATTTCATTGGTTTTGACTCTACCTTGCCCATATTTCTTGAATTTTCAAGCCTGCTATTGATTTGATGAATAATTGGAAAATCTTGGTGGTAATCTTACAGGAACAAGTGAACCAGTGCTACAAACTCATACAAGGCATTTACAGTCTTCACCATAAACGCAAGCGCGTATCGGAAACAAGTAGCCCTGGTGGTGTCATTGATGCATCTTTCAGTTTTGATACCTCAAATGATTCATGGACCATGGCATCATCAGTCTCACTTTCAGTGGAGCCACTGTTTAAGAGGAGGAGAGCTCAGGACCAGCAGATGCGGTTGCCTTCTGTTAATCGTGTGTCTATTGATGTTCTTAATAGCCCTCATTAATAATGATCTTATATTTACTTCAAACATGGTAGCTTTCTTTCATATAAATCTGGCAGTTATGTATTGAAATGCAACTACATTATGTTCTTAGTTATATACATTTCTAGCCAAACATATGAAAATGGATGAGGCAGAGGCTGAGATTCCCTCCCCCACTTAGTCATTTGAGGTGGAACAGGGATCTGATACTGAGTAGAATGATGAGTATTAAACTTGTAATTCTACCTGTGAGTTATCTTTCCAGTGCAATTTTTACTCATCTTACACATGATATTTCTCAATAAGCACAATCAAGAGATTTCCTTTGCTTATCATCTGCCAATCTCTCCCCTGTTTATGCAGAATAGGAACTGCATGTGGAGATTACTAACTGAGTAACTGATAATCAAAGATGGGTGAAGTGACATCCTGGCCCTTTAGGATATACTCATAGTGTGATAATCTCTCCCCTGCCAAGCTCTTGTCCAAGATCAAACCAAACCCAATAAGAAATAACATGCTGTCCCTTTAGGATATACTCATTAGTTTCTTCTATCAATGCATATCTTTCTGTTACTCTCCCTAAATCCTCTTATGGAGTGGGAGACAGACAAGGAAGTCTCACATTACGATGGAACCCAATCTTTCTAATAACATATAATGTTTACAAATATATTTATTTTTCTAGTCGTCCCAATCTGTTTGAATCTGATGTACATGGAAACTATTTCCTTTGTTGTTGAATTAGATAATAACATCAGTTTTGGTATACCCAAGAGAATTAAAAAAACTGACTCAATTCCAGGTGAAGGGTTTTCGTAGCTTGCTTGAATTGCGATTATGCATTCTTAAAGCTAAGCATTGAAATGGTATAGGTATAATTGGTTCTATTTAAGTCACCATAATTTCTTGCTATTTTGGTCGCAACGCCCATAAAAGCTATTTTCAGCTCTAGGTTGTATATATGTGGCCCTGCATGTGATAGTTTTGGCGGAAAAAAAAGATTGCAATTTGAACTGTATGGATGTTTCATGTCCTATAATCGTATCTCACACATTTTTTTTCAGTTTCAAAGTATGAACGTTGGACTTTAAGCAATTCGGTGTATGGTTACAAATAATTTATTGCAATGTTTGATGTCATATCATATCTTAATTGAAGATAAGCTACCTTTTCAGTAAACAAGAACTAAGATGAATATCTTCTTTCCTTCATCTACCTAGAGTTGAGGTTTCATTATTGCTTGTTTTAAGCATTTCTCATTATAAAGTGAATTGGTCAAAAGTCAAAACAGAATGCATTTAGCACAGGATACATATGGAAATAAATGTCTTTAAGATGAGTTTTCAAGCAGCTGTGGTATTAACCTCAACGAAAATGGGTGATTGGGAAAACTCTTCTTTTTTGGAAGGATGAATTCTCTTTGAAGTCCGTACCTTTAGGACTCGTATGAATATTATGTTTGGAAAGTGATAATTGAGCAATGCTGACAAGATAGGTTGCCATTGGGAACAAGAGAAAATGGGTTTTCCTAAATCACTAAAGACCACCTAGTAACCAAAAAAGATCAAAAGGTAAAAACTGGTACAAATTTTATGAAAATGACTGCCCATAAATAGGTAAACCTCTGATTTGAGGAGGTTACTTTGTTCCTGCTGTGGTCCTCTTTCTTTACTTTTTCACTTTGAGTTGGTTATGGTTCGCTATATGTTGCAGATGCATAATGTCCTGGTTATGATGGTTTGCAAGAGTCCATAGCATGACGCAATTTCAAAGGGACAGCTATATCCATGCCGAACAATAATTCTGGGTGATATGATGAGTCCCCTTGAGAATCAAATTTGGTATTTATTTTCCAGTGCTTTATCAAATCTTTAAAAGTACAAGCAGAAGTTACTTTTGTCTTGATTAATTGTTTTAAGATTGTTTAGCAAACATTTTTCCTAATTTTGGTAAAATAACTCTTTTCCACGTGTTACTCACTAACCCAAAATCTTAAACAAAAAGACTATAATAGTTTTACTGATTTAAAGTTTCTCATATTTTAAGATATAAAATTATCTCCTACACATATAGTGTGTGGGGCTTAGTTTTTCTCTTTCTTTTTCTTCTCCTCAAATGATCCCACATGAGCTCCACGTATTTTTATGTGTGTGTAAATTTTATTTCTTATAATATAAGAAATTTTAAACCCTAGTTTTACTCTTTTTGTTTGCACCTGTGTATCTATGTTGTGAGTATGTGGGGATCAAAGTATGAATTATTGTATATATGACTATGCGTAGGCGAAAGGATTCTCACATGCAACCAAGAGACGGGTAACTTGCACGATGGTATCTAAAGTAGCTCCCAAATATCAAAGCCATTGACAAGCAGAGCATGCTCCTCATGCACGTGCTATTATGTGCCTTGTTATTTTGGTGGAAAATGCCAAATTCATGCACACCAATTTTGTTTATACATTCATATACTACACATTATAGAACGCCCCTAGCTACCTTCGTACGTAGCATGTCATTTTGGTTGTAGGAGCTATTCTATTGGCCTTATTATTAGCTTCTCAAGTCTTTCAGCAACAGGACCAAAATACAGTTACCAAGCACGGGAGTAATTTCTCCAACCTTCATTTTTATTGTATTCCCAAATAGAACCTTGGCATGAACAGGGCAAGGACACGTCTACACAAAACTATTGTCCAAGTTATAAACTAAAATTAGATGCCCAAGCCGAAAACAAGGTCTTATTGATATCAATGTTCTATGATTAAAAGCATACCTCAATTATATAAAGGCCACCTTAGATAGTTTCTTTCTTCTTTGTCTCCTCCCATTTCTACTCTCACAATTTTCCTTATGGGGAAGTAAGAATGGTTTAGTATAAGATTAAAACATGATGCACAACTTAAAAGACTCAAATAATTTAAGAAGAGCCAGAATAGTTCACATGGGATAAACCAGAGCTGAAAAGTGAGTAGTAGTTGAGTAACAGCTATAAAAGTTTTGTTTTCTATAAATTTAGAGACAAAATGTCAAAAAGACTAGTACTTGTGTTTCTAAAATTGTGTGAACTGAAACAGGGAAGTTCAGAAAGTAGGAAGTAGGAACAGCAGGAAATTTCGCAAAAACTTGTCTTAGTCATCCCAATGTACCAGGGCAAGCTAAATACATACAAAATAGCTGTCACTTTAACACACCCAACAACCACTTTGAAAGAAACAGATACTGCCTCGGTGAAGTTTCGGTCACAGAGAATTGTGTTGCTCGTAATTTAGCTGAGTGGGCCCTTCCTCCCAACGTATCTCTGGCGGACTTTTGACCCTTAATCCAATACATAATACCTCTTAATTCTTTTCGTGTGCATTACACTTGTGCGTTTAAGCAGCGCTTTACACTTTCGCAAAAATCAGTGCATTGCAAGACGCGTATCTTGGTCGTGTGCATTTAAGTCTCGCATACATCAAATGTGTATCTTGCAAAGCGCGACATGTGTCAAGTGTGTTTTGGCTTTTGCATAAGTACAAGTACGGAGGTGATGCACAACTTAAATGTACATTAGATTGATATTTAATTTACCAAAAGAATTAAAGGAGTAATATATATTGGATTTTGCATCATAAGGGTAAAAAAACCATCTCTTGCTTTCTGAACTATTCTCTTCTTGAGTGATCAAAATCTCTAGTCAATCACCGTAATAATTTTATTACAATTAGTCGAAACTGCAGATGTGTTAAAGTTAAAGGTCTGTCGTGAATCTTTTTCTGTCGTTCTTGAAATGCAATTGTGATCGATTATACCTTAATGCTAATAACATTATTGTTTCTTTCTTGAGTTAGTTCAAGTGATACATGCTTGATTCTGCTTAAGCTAAGTAAGGTCTTGGATTCAAATTCTTTAAATGCAAAAAATTCTTTTTGAAAGCGCTAGTTCCACCATAATGTGAACATTTTCGTCTCGAACAGTATTGTCTCTGGTGGAAGATATTTATGATTTATGAAAAAAAAAAAAACTAAGATGCCATAGTCACATTTACGGTTAGCATAACATTAATCACAAGTCATGGCATTGCTAACTTTGCTTGTAACTTGTTTCTGACAGTAACTGTCTGTCTCTGAGAGGCTCAAGGGACAACGTATATAGTGAGGTTTTCTATGAGATTTATTAGCTATCTTAGAAGAGACAATCTTAAAAAAATGGGCTTCCTCCACACAGGAGATAACCCAACCCATTACCTGGCCTAATGGGGCATAAGTTGCGGCATATACATGGACCAATCAATAACTAGGGTAAGTTCATTCCACTTTGTTCTCGAGGATTTGTAAAGTTAGTAAGGGTGTAAAGCATGTAACTGTGGCTCTCTTTCCGACCTCTAATTGGATTGACATCTTGAACTTAATCCTTAAATTTGTAATGTTAGGAAGGGTTTATTAATGTTATCTCAGCATGAAGTAAGTATAATTAACTAAGTTATTCTTTTGTGGTTTATTAATATTATCCTTGTAATAACAACAAACTTGTGTACTAAATATAATGTGTAAAGATTTTCAATTTCTCAAGAGGGAGAAAAAAAACCTTTTTATTTTATTAATGACTACCTATAAGCATTATCTCCAGAATATTACTTTGCGGAAAAGATGTTGTATCAAATTAATATAAAAAAAAACTATACATAGGAAAAGTGATTGAAAAGACTTTGTAAAGGGAATGCTCTGTTTCGATAACTGATAAGAATGGCGTTCTACGGAGATGTCATAGAAACACTCTTAGAAACTAGGTGGCTAGGTCCTCCTTTTTTTAAATTTTTTTTGTTTCCTTTGGCACATCTTTATCATGTCATAGAAACAATGAAAATTTTGCTTTTTATTTTTTAAACGATATCTCATTAAGGGCTAAAAAAAAACCCTCACAGTTTGACTCTTCCTTAATTATTCTTGTAACTTTTTAAACGAGATTAGTAAAAAATTAAATTATAATTTTTTAAACAAAACGGTGGAATCAGGAATCTGGCCTGTGAGATTGTTGAATGAGAGGTCAACGGTGGCGTTACTTGGAATTTTTCCAGCAAACTCCGGTTATATGATATGTTCAGGTAACACATGGCATCACCACCAAGATCTTGGGGCAGAGTTCTATTCAACAAGTTAAAGGACAGATCTAAAACTTGCAATGTTCTCAATCCGCTAGGAAGAAATCTAGACAAGTGATTGTTCTTTAATGCAGCAACAGTTAGATTTCGCATGTTTGAAAGATTGTTGGGGACTCTCCTAATTACACCGTGCTATCACTACCACCACCTTATTATCATTATTGTTGCTACCACGACACTATCATCATCACCACTATTTTGACTACCAACTAGTCATCACTTATGATGCACCCATTTCTACCGATGTTGTTTGCAATTATTTTGATATTAAATAATATTTTTAATATATATAATATGATTTACATTTAACACATATAGTAACT